ATGACTTGAAGCACTTACTGATGAAGATTGAAGACTACAGTCTGCAATATGGATTACACCTCAATATAAAGAAAACAAAAATCCTCACAGCTGGACCAATAAGCAGCATCACAATAAATGGAAAAAAGGTTGAAGTTGTCAAAAACTTCATATTACTTGGTTCTACAGTCAACACCAATGGAAGCAGCAGACAAGACATCAGATGACGTATTGCATTGGGCAAATCTGCTGCAAAAGACCTCTTTCAAGTGCCAAAGAGCAAAGATGTCTCCTTGAAGACTAAGGTGCGCTTAACCCAAGCCACGGTATTTTCAGTCATCTCATATGCATGTTAGAGCTGGATAGTGAATAAGGAAGACCAAAGAAGAGCTGATACTTTTGAGTTGTGCTGGTGAAGTATACTAAAGGTACTATGGACTGCTAGAAGAACTAACATCTGTCCTGGAAGAAGTGCAGCTGGAATGCTCATTGGCAGTGAGAATGGCCAGACTTCGTCTCATCTACTTTGGTCATGTCAGAAGGGACCATTCCCTGGAGAAGGATATGAAGATCACTTGCCCTCAACAAGATGGACTGACACGGTGGCTGCAACAATGGGCTCAGGTAAAGCAAGAATTGTCAGACTGGCACAGGACTGGGCAGTGTTTTGTTCTGTTGTACATAGGGTCACTATGAGTTGGAGATGACTCAACAGCACCTAACAACAACATGGTAATTCTTTAACTTTTTTTTGTGTGTGCGTGTTTTGGGTGAAAGTTTACAGAGCAAATACACTTTCCATACAGCAGTTCACACACTATATTGACTGCAGTTTCCCACAGTGCAACAGCTCTCTTCCCTCTTCCTTCCCATCGTTACCTCCTCCCCACGTCCCTCCTTCCTATGCATTCCTGCCCCCTGAGCTGTCTCTCTGTGTATACACTGCCCCTCTGTTCTCCCACAATTGATCTCTCTAAGGAATATATCTATCTGATAGAAATATTCAGCCCATGTGCCTGTTATTTGGCTGGAAGCCACAGGAGTGAGTTCAACTCCAGACCTGTAGAGCAGCTAGGGGCCATAGTCTCAGGGGTTTCATCAGGCTCCATCAGACCAGCAAACCTGGTCGTCCCCCCCCCCTTTTTTTTAATGATTTTGAGTTTTGTTCCACGTTGTTTTCCCACTCTATCTAGGATCTCCTACACAGATCCCCTTCGAGTGGTTAACAGTGGTGCTGGGCACCATCTAGTTGTTTTGGTCTCATGGTCTACCAGTCCCTTAGACTAATTGTTTCCATGTGTCTTTGGTTTCCTTCATTATTCTTTGCTCTGGACAAGGAGAGATCCATCATTGCATCCAGATGGCCACTTGCAAACTTTTAAGATCCCAGTTGCTACTCACCAAAATATGATGTGGAACAATGTTTTTGTGCAGTATGTTATGCCAATGAGCTTGATGTCCCCTGTGGCAATGGTCCCACAGGTCCAACTACTTGCTCCCTCCAGGTAGCTGGCTGTGGCCAAGAAGTTACCACAACCTTGTCCCTTGTCAGCTCTGCTATATGCCTGGACATTCTTACAGCACATACAAATGCACTTTTAGAAACATCATCTGCCAACCCTATACATGGTCATGGGCACACTTCCCACTGCCTATACAAACCTGATTGTTCAGCCTGTCCACCCATCTATCCACTTGTAGAGCAATGTTTGCCATCACTGACAATGCAGTACTGTTATGTGCAAAAGGGTTGATCTTTGTTGTCTGTACCTCCCATGTATCTATCTCTTGTCTTCCTCTTCCTCAGTGCCACCATGTTGATCACTCACATTTGGTACATCGCCCTTCCCTTCACCCAAACCAATACTCGTCTCTACCTATTTAGTTTCTTTTTGAAGAACTGCCAAACTGCTTTCCATAGTGGCTGCACCATTTTGCATTTCCACCAGCAAGAGAGGAGAGTTCCAATTCCTCTACATCCTCATGAACACTTACTTTCCATTTTTCTGATAATAGCCAACCTAGTAGGTATGAAGTGGCATTTCCTTATAGTTCTGTCATGAGAACTTGAAATATACAACATAAAACTGTAGTCCACTAGGGAGGATTTAAGGGTTGGAGTCAGTGCCAAGGCCAGCTCCCCCATGTATAAAGCTGGATTTCTAGGGAGCAGGAACAAAGGACCTGTGAAAGGAGCCATTCCATGGGAGACTGGCATACACCTCTCACTTCAGAGTGGCTTAGATGATTAAATGAGACCAATAAGGTAAAGTGCTTAACAAGAGCATGACACACTAAACACTCAGTAAGATAAAGCTGTTGTGATTCTTGCAGTTCTTAAGTGGAGGGCTGACATAAGCTGTGTTGAAGATGCTATAAAGCTGGAGCCCTAGAGAGAAGTAAAAGGGGCAGCAGGTCAATTCTCAGGTGGTGGAGGTGAAGAAGGGTGGCAAAGTTACAAGATGAGTGGGATCCACTGTTCTGGGGTGGGTCAGCTGGGAGGCCTAGGTCATGCTCACTACTGACAGTGTGTTTGCAAAGTCCCCATCATGGCTGATTATATTCTCTGCAGATAACACAAGCCTTTGCCCTGGGACCTAGAGTCTAATGATAAATTCAATAAAAACCCCTCTCCCTTTGACTATCCCACCTATAGAATTCACATGGAATTAACATAATTAATGGATTAATATAATTGCATCAGCTTTGGTAAGATTAGTAACCTGAAACTTGACTCCAGTGTTTGCTACTACCTGTATTGGGGATGAGAACCAGTATTTTTTGCTATGAGTTTCTTCCACAAAAATTTTGCAGTGTATAATATGACAAATCTGTCATCTATTACAGCTTTTGTTATAAGAGAATTTCACAGTCTCAGTTTTAGCTTTTATTATTTTTCTCTTGCAGGGATTTCCAAGTAGATCGTTTACAAAAGTACCTCTACTCATCTAGTTTAGATACTTTTAATGCAATTTGAAATTAGTTAAAAATAATGGCCTCTGGGATTGACTCATCAGCGTATAGTGGTAGACAAAAAGTAAATCCAAGCACAAGAGTTCTGGTAAGATGGCAGAATGGGCAGAAAAACTACACAGACCCTCCTCAACAAAGAAAAGGGGACCCACTTAACACAGATATAGACGATAATCCTGGAGCCCTGAGCTTTGAAAGGAAGGATACAGAAGTGGACTAAACTCCAACTAGTAGAAGAACCTGCATGAAAACACCAAAAAAGGAAACATACGGAGCTGCGGTCTGTTAGCAATCCTCACGGCACAGATGGCTTGGATATTGCCAAGTGGTGTTAGGACCTAAAAATTAA